CACTTTACTTCTGATAGGGTTAATAGTTCCAGATCAAGTAAAACATCATAAGCGCTAAAGATGAAGATGATATTGATTTATTTCTCTGTTAAACAGAGTATTTCAGTCATCACAATCAGTATTTCCTTCAAATACACACATTAAGTATCCTGCTGTATAACTCATGCTAATGGCTCTCGTGCTAGCTATTTGCAACCTAAAAAAATGTAAAACTAATGTGTAAACATTTGTCAGTCTTCAAATAAATAATAATTCTCTTGTGAAGCAAAGTAAAATGTAATATATTGCGTGTCCGTAAGATATATAATAGGAAGATCAATGGGATATTTTAAAGTACAAGAGTATTCAAATAGGTCTGAGACTGTTACTGTTACTGTTGACAAGCGTGCGTAGAGAATATCCGTCAGCCCGATAAACACTGGGTGTGTGAATGCGGTTATCCATTAGAAACAGCACATCACCATCAAAGAATCAAAGAATTTAGCACCGATGCTTTGAACCAGTGTTGGTAGTGTAGAAATTATTGTGAAAAAGAAATATTTGCAGTATCATAAGATGCATGCCTGGTGGATCCTACACATGTTGACAGACGAGAACAAAGTGATACACATGCAAACCAACCACCAATTTTTTCCTGAGGCAATTTGCAGATAAAGGGGATACGTTTTGGATGTTTATATTAACCATCAATGGAACGGAGTAATGCTACTTCAATCCCGAGTCCATGTTTAAATCCGAGTTGAGAGGCCTGAAGTTTGTGGATAAAAATACTGTCATCATCAGTGTTCAGGGACTGATTCACAGGCGATTGCAAAACATTTGCGAAAAGGGTATGGAAATGCTTTTAGAATGTTGGCAAAAATTTAGTGACTCTGGAGGGGAGTATGTGGAAAGATACATTTTCAGCTCTTTGATTAACAATAAAGGTTTTGAAAGGGAAAAAATCAATCCCGGTCATATTTAAACCGTCTTGTACTTTTAATCTTCAATTATATTTGAATTTCTCAGAGAGGTTAGATTTAAAAAATGACGAAATTTTGAAAATATAGCTCATATTTTAATAATGAATATTAATATATAAGATTTTACATGTAATGCATTCTTCATTCTCAATTTCATTTATATTGTGTACATATTAAATAGTCTACATACCTAAATCCTCTTCTAGTTTTCTTATATTAATTTCAATAACAAAAAGCTTTCCAATTTTTTTTTCCAAATATTGGATTTTCAAAAACGTTGCTGGTTAAGGATATGATTTAGCAGACAAAAGTTTACCAGAATCTACATTCGTATATTCAGATGCAGAACATATATCAGTTACGAGATTTAAAAAAAAAATATTGAATTAAATAATAAGGTATTTTCCCCACCTTCTTAGAATGCCTTTATAGTGTAGTGGTCAGCACTCTCAACGCCTATTCGAGAGGTCCGTGGTTCGAGTTCCGGTGAGGGCATTGCTCATTTTTCATCTCTCCTGCTTTCGAAATAACCTAATGTCTCTACAGTGGCGCCCGAAATAAAAGGATGGTTGGTGATGATTGTCCACCACCAGGATTTTTCGACTGGGACACCTAATCCCCAGTCGCCCCTTAAAAGGAGGAGTGTATAAGGTATTTCTCCTGCCTTCTTTGCATTCCTCCGTAGTGCACGCTCTGCGCGTATTTGAGAGATCCGTGGCTCGTGTCTTGGCGATTAGAACCAAAGAGAAACATAATCATAGCCGATAACCAGGTCTAGGCACCTAACGATATGTAAAGGCAGCAAGCCTCCATTCATGTATACATGTAAATATCTCTAAACTAACTAACTGTTTTTGTTAATTTTATACTAACATGCCCAAAACATTATAAGTTGGAGCATCCAACAAAAGTAATACACTAATGTTAAATCTGTTTATCAGTAATAAGGTTGAAAAGATAAGCGACCAAAAAAGGTTGCTGGTGCAATGATCAGGATAACATGACTTACTTATGGTGCCCACTGAGAGGTGAAGCAGGTGAAATAATAATAAATTACAAATAAATCTCTCCTTCTTTCAAAAAAATACCTAATGTACAGCAATAACTGCAGTTGTACACTAACTGTTTGGTCATTTGATATGAAAAGCGATTCAATAGGATCACTTGCAAATTTTCTTGTTAACAACACAGTGAAAACTATTTTCAAGCAAGAACCTAAGGCATTTGACAGTTGACAAGTTTGTAGATTTTCACACTGGATAATCCCTGTGGGTGCTGAACGTGATAGTTTCCAGTCTTCTAAAAAGAGTAAAAATATAGTCTCAAGCCAATCCAAGCGGTCAGCAACAATGGGAAAACATGATTCATAATCTTCGAAACTTACAAGGTATTTTGTCTTTTCTTTCCGCATGCCTTCGTGATGTAATTGGAAAGCACACTCGACGCATATTCGAGAGATCTGGAGTTCGAATGAGGGCGAGGGCATTGCACATTTTTCACGTCTCCAGCACCCAAACCCCTAATGAACCTAATAACTATATAATGATGTATATTTTGAAAATTGTGAAGAGTAAAGCATTTATACAGGCTCTCCATACATTCAAGTGTAGGTATAGCAGCTGAAAAACTCTTCAGTACCAAACTGAGGCACATATTTTTGTAAAACACAAAGTCCAGCTGTCATTTCAGATGAAAAGGGTTCAACTGCTCGATGAATATACATTTTTGCAAAATAACTTGGGTAAACATGTTTTTTGGATAAACTTCTAACCATTATAATTACATCTTTATTTCGTAATTCATAAAGGTTTCTGATATATTAAGTCGACAATATTTCCACAAATTTTGAATTTTATAGTGAAAAACAAAGATCGGATATTTTTTATTATATGACAATAATCATAACTAAAAAAAGGCCTTTCTGCGTTAAAAAAAGATGATTTATTTGAGGTTTTGCAAGAACATTAGTTAACATATTGAGTATCAGAACACCAATTTTGCTGTTGTTAACCGCGAAGCGAATAACTTTGAAAGGATTTATTTATTTTTATTAACCAGTTATTTTATGTTAAGCTTTTCTCTCTTTATGTTTTTCTGCCAGAACTCAAATTTTAGTTCACGTATTCAAATGAGGTAGAAAGAGATAGTATTTAAAGGAAGGTTTTAGATTGTTGAATTAGGCATATTCCGCCTACTGAAGGCCACGTAATTAAGTGAATCTCTTGATAGCAGTCTGCATGCAGCGTAGCATTATTCTCGCCATTAGGATTTTAACGCCGATACTACGTTTAAGCCAACTTGCTCGAATTCTTCTCATTTGAATACGCGAACTAAAATTTGAATTCTGGCAGAAAAACATAAAGAGAGAAAAGCTTAACATAAAATAACTGGTTAATAAAAATAAATAAATCCTTTCAAAGTTATTCGCTTCGCGGTTAACAACAGCAAAATTGGTGTTCTGATACTCAATATGTTAACTAATGTTCTTGCAAAACCTCAAATAAATCATCTTTTTTTAACGCAGAAAGGCCTTTTTTTAGTTATGATTATTGTCATATAATAAAAAATATCCGATCTTTGCTTTTCACTATAAAATTCAAAATTTGTGGAAATATTGTCGACTTAATATATCAGAAACCTTTATGAATTACGAAATAAAGATGTAATTATAATGGTTAGAAGTTTATCCAAAAAACATGTTTACCCAAGTTATTTTGCAAAAATGTATATTCATCGAGCAGTTGAACCCTTTTCATCTGAAATGACAGCTGGACTTTACGAGCAGAGTTAGTGTCACAGTGAAATTTTTACTACAGTGAAGTGTATAAGTGATCTTTAAGTGTAACAGTGATACCTGTGAAGCGACTTCTGTGTGTCTCTATGTGATTTTACTCTTTGCATCAAATTCAGTGCGTCATCTCAAGTCCACAATTGTTTCTCGCATTGTATAGTGCAAGTGATTGCTACTATGACACGGCCATCAACCTCAGTGGTTAAGTACGACAATTCTAACTGCGACTCTGATCCGGCAACTCTTGCTCGCTCAGAATTAACACAAAAATCAATAAGTTCTGCGAAAGTCTTAGAAAAACAGCCTCCATACAAAGAGGAGGCAGATACCTTCTTCCTTCAGACGTAAAGGTATCTCTTCTGGATTTGATAGACGCAGTGCACACTTTGGCACTCGAAGGCCCAAATTACATACCAAAACCAGAAGCAGCAGACGCCTGTACCAACACTCCCTCCATAGTCTGTTGCGGTTCATTGCACGACACAGCTCCCAACGAAGGCACCAACGACTCATCAGCGCTTAGCGATACCGTCGTCAGAGTCAAAACATACGCGCAAGCAACCAGACCGAAGCCAAAACATACGGTTTTAATTTATCCCTCTGAGAGTACTGCACAGGGTAATAAGGACCTAAAAGCTGTCCTTAACGAAAATTTCCCTATTCAGAAGCTTGGAGTTAAAATCTCCTCCATTAGAAATCTACAGAAAGGAGGACTAGCTGTAGACTGTGTTTCCAAAGAGGACGTGACCAAGCTCACTACTACTTTACAAAGCACGCAGGGACAAGTAATAGTCAAGATCAAGCAACCACTGACTAGACTACCACGAGTGGCTATCCACAACGTATCTCCTGACGTCCAACGAGAAGAGATAGAAAATGCACTCGCCTCAGAACTCCACCAACACAACAGCCAAAGTCATATACCGACTCAAGGACAGAGGAAACTACGTCAAATGGATACTTGAATGTCAACCAGCGGCATTTAGAAGCCTCCTCCAGTCATCCAAGCTCTTCATTGGAGGGGGGGGGTAGAGAACATAGGATTGCTGAGCACTTCGACACAAAAAGATGTTTCCGATGCTAGGAGTTTGGCCATCTGCAGCAAACATGCACCAATATAATCTACTGTACCTTCTGCTCTGGAAGTCACAGTGTTAAGGACAGTCACGCCAGCAGGCCAACATGCATCAACTGTTCAGACGCCAACTATAAAACGCGTAGCACAATGCCATGCAGCCATCCGGCCTATGATACCAACTGCCCAACGTATGGACGATACATCGAACGCGTCAGAAGGAGCACTCTCTATGAATAATGAACAAGAGCCGAACAGCACGACAACAGCACAAGCGATACGCGGGCCAACCCAAGAAACTTCAAGTGCGGAAGCTAATTCTAATCAAGCACAGATAAAGTGCACACAAATTAACTTACAACGGGCGGTAGCCGCGACCACGCAGGTAGTCCAGCATGCTATTCAATATAACTTAGATTTCTTGATAATTCAAGAACCTTATTGTCGCGAGGGCCAAGTGGCAAGCCTACCACTGGCATGGAAAATTTTTCAGAAGAAAGCCAATGCAGAACAAGCACCACGGGCAGCCATTGTCTGCTGCAACCCCTCCTGGTCTCCATACGTAGTAACCACAGAAAGAGACTTCGTTACTATTCTAGTCATCTTTGAAGAGCAGCAATTCCTCCTAACCTCCGTCTACTCCCCGCCCACGGAAGGTCTTACGGATGTGACTTGCAACTTTATACGAGTGAAACAGAAATGCCCAACAGTACCTCACGTCGTTGGAGGAGATTTCAATGCACATAATATTATATGGGGCTACCAAGACACAACGCCTAAAGGGCGAGACATGGAAGACTTTATGGCCTGTCACGATCTACATTTACATAATAGTCAAGGGGCACAACCAACCTATGACAATACCTATCATAAAGGATGGCCTGATCTTACACTCTCAACTGCTAATTTTGCCAACAACTTTAGCTCATGGGATGTTCTAGATGATGAGAGTAACTCAGATCATCGATACATCCACTTCACACTAACACTTGAAGCCAGCATTAATATCCTCCAGAGATTCAAACTACCGGGCGGAAAGATACGACGACTGAAGAATGCCTTTCAGGAGCTGCTCATCAGAGAAGAAGACATACTAGAAGAGCTTACCCCACCCCCAAGAACTGGATGATTACACAGACCACATTCTGTCATTACTCAGACAAATATGTCAGCAGATCCTCCCTACAAGGACCGCCAAAAAACTCCAAGGCATATCCTGGTGGACGGGAAGACTGAGAGAGATGAAACAGAGGTGCAGAGCTCTGCGCCGCCGCCTCAGATCTGCTACCAACGAAATTGTAGCTTCCAAACATCCTTACGGCCTTTCGGCAAGAAAGGGCCGCCTACAAGAAAGCAATTCTTGAAGCTAAAATTAACAGCTGGAGATCTTTCTGCACCAGTAACAGTAATCCATATGGAATTTTACACACAAACTGGCAACGCAGAAGATCTTCCAACCAGCGCAAGTACCAGTTCAACAACAACAGCACCACATACTATGGACGTAGCGGCCTCCACCGCCAAGGAACTTTTAAATGCTATCTTTCCCACAGATGATACACAAGCAGATACTTCAGAACAGAGGCAAATTAGAGAAGATACAAGCTCGCCATGCACACCGAACGATATACAGTTTTCTGCACAGGAGATACGTAATATCTTCCGGTATCTGCCACTAAAAAAGGCCCCGGGTCCAGACGGACTCGATTACGCAATTATCAAAGTTGCATATCAGGCACGACCATCCTACTTCCATAAATACTACAACCAGCTTCTGCATTATAAAATATTCCCCACAGCTTTCAAAAAAGGCAATGTGGTATTATTTTTAAAAAAAGGATAAAGACCCCCTAGTATCGAGTTCCTTTAGGCCAATTTGCCTTCTGTCGGCGATGGGAAAGATTTACGAGAAGCTCATCGTCAACAGGCTAAAATTTCATCTACATCAATACCAAAGCATTAGCCCAAGACAATTTGGCTTCAAATCAAGGCAGTTCTACCACTCATGCCCTGCAGCGAATCCATGAAGTCATAATTCAGAACAAATCGCAGGGCTACCAGACGGCTTTTATATCGATAGATTTGCAAAGTGCGTTCGATACCCTCTGGTGGCCTGCCATCAGGCAGGCCCTCAGAGAGGCAAGATGCCCAAGAAATATCTATCAAGTTCTGGACAACTATCTGGCAGACCGGCAACTGATGATCTCTAACAACAGTAGTACTGTTTCAATAACACAAGTGAGAGGATGTCCACAGGGGTCCTGTGCAGGGCCTCTGCTATGGAACCTCACCTTTAATAAAGTCTTAGAGGCAAGGTGGCCACAACATACTGTGTTAGTTGCATACGCGGACGACGCGGCATTACTGGTCAGAGGCCGCACACGCGCTGAGCTTGAAGCCCATGGCAGTGAGTCATGCACTATCTTTGCCAACCTCTGCGAAGAGCTAAAACTCAAATATCCACCACCACAAAGTCCACTGCTATCATCTTTCCAAGAAAGGGTACAAATCCAACACGTAGCCCATGTATCAAACTACAAGGCCGGAATATTAAGGTCGTAAAAACTTTAAGATACCTTGGGGTAATATGGGACCCAGGTCTGACTTGGCTTCCGCATATCCAGGCACAAAAGATTAAAACATCTGCAATTGCCAGGAGATCACGACAATTCCAAGGCCGGAACTGGGGACGGAATCCCCACATTCAAAAGGTACTTTACAAAACTGTAGCTGAGAAGGTGGCACTCTATGCGGCAGCTATATGGGCACAACCCATGACCGCACGCAAGGTTAAGCAACTCCTATCACTACAGCGCCCATTCGCCCTAGGTTTATGCAGAGCCTACCGCACCACTGCAACTTATGCAGCACTCACCTTGGCAGGCATCATACCACTTCATATCCAAGCGGAGCTAGAGGCCACATATACTAAAATAATACATCTACAGAAAGACGCAACCTTTGCAGGCACCTTACATAGCCCTGCAAATTACGAACATCCATGTACTCCTCTCCACACGCACCCAGCACACAAGGGACTTGGCATTCACACTATCCTCAAACCGTCACGACGTCAACCAGAAGGAAACCCTAATATGCACGCGTTCTACACAGATGGCTCGAAAACTGCTGAGGGTGTAGGTAGTGCCTTTATATACTACAGGCAAGGCCATGCTGCACACCATTGGAAAGGGCACCTCAATCCAAATAATAGCATTTTTCAAGCAGAAGTAGTTGCCATAACAGCTGCCATTGAATACGTGGCGCTCAACAACATCACACATGTGCAGCTTTATACAGACAGTATGTCGACACTGCTTGCTCTTGACAAACATAGTCACGCCTCCCCGCTGATCATACGACTGCAGCATATCCTAAAAGATAATCGGCACGCACATGTTGACCTAGTATGGATTAAAGCCCATGCAGGTAACATGGGTAATGAGACAGCGGATGAACTCGCTAAGGAGGCTGCTTCGAACCAAAATGCCAGACCGATATCAGTATCAGCACCACCATCTTTCCTCAAAAGTCAACTGCGAAATGCCGCTATCCAGTGGTGGCAAAGAGAATGGGATCAGGGCGACACGGGAAGGAGAGCGCATAGCTTCTTGCCAAAAGTAACCACGGAGCGCCTTATGGCAATTGCTCCCCTTACCAACTTCATTACTGGTCATGGTCCCTTCCCGGATTACTTCTACCGCCGCACCATCTCAACCACGGATCGCTGTGTTTGCGGGGGTGAGGGGGTCACCGGACCATTATATCTTTCAGTGCCCACTCACGGAACAGTTCCACTTCCCGATACCAGCCAATATCTCAGCATTTAACAAGTTCCTAGCCAAAAACAGAGCGGCCATAAATAAAATATGCAAAGTAATAACCACCATTGCAGCATATGGCCAGGACTTCTGTCAACCAGAGTAATAGGGCTTATATGCATTACTTGCACTGACATATGCACTCTAATGCTCTACCATCTAATCTCTGACTGCATAGGGAGCATTCTTTTGTTATAACCTATTAAGTGGTGGTGTTTTTTTTAACCGTGCCTGTATGTTAATTCAAATGTACTTCAAATGCCAGATGTTGAACAGTTGCCCCTGTATGGCCATGTATCCACACTTATAATTGTTAAATAAACTCCAGGGGAGGACGCGGGATATATGCCTGTTAACATCTGTTAAACTTTAGGCGTCCCCGTCCTCCGTCACCTGTCACCTGTTTAGCCTTTGGCTAAACTAAGCTTTAGTTTAAGTTTATTAATTTTGAGTTACCCCACAAAAGCTGGCTGGTTTTGTAAGCACAAGAAGTGCCTTCTGGTAAATTACCTAAGTTTAATAAAAGGGTCTTATATACCCTTCTCACTTTCTTTGTCTTTTAACTGAGCATATCGATAATTCGCTTAGCTTTCAGATTTGAGTCTCATGTACTTTTTATTTCCAAAGAAGGTGAGACACTTTAAATCCTCTAGCTCTTTCATAACATTCAAAGTAATTTTATATAATTCAGCCCCTTTTAATTTTTTAGTGAAGAAACAACTGACTGGTAAGGGATAATATATAAATAAGCCTAAAAGAGCTAAAAAATATCTGATTTGCAAATGTATGTTTTATACCTACGTCTTTTTCAAGTAATCCCATGTCAATAGCTCTAACAAACTTGTCAACAAATCTAATATAGTACTCTAAAAATGGTATGACTGACATTTCATCTAAAACTCAGCTATCCGATTTTTTACAGAGGATTTAATCTTCTTCTTTCTTGAAATAAATGTTGCTATGTTAAATTTCTCAAAGAAAGATTTCCATAAGAATAACCAATATATACTCTTAAAGCAGCTAAAGCCGGAAGAGAAAATAAATGAAGTTTGTGTACTTGGTGAAAACCTCTAGGAAAGTGGCTGGCTGTGCCATATCATACAATATCTTAATAGCGATATCATTCCAACGTTTTCTTTTCCCGCCAAATATATATATATATATATATATATTAATACATAAGAATTTTAGTGAGAGGCAAAATTAAAAAGTAAAATGTATCTTTATATTTGAATTTCGGATTTGCATATAATCTTTTTAGACCAATTTTTTTTTTCGAATGGTCATTTTACAATAAGTAAAATTTTGGGTTTTTTTTTTTTTTTTTTTTTTTTTTTTTTTTTGTAGTCAATTTGAAACAATGTTATGTTTTATTCTTTTGCCAAGTGTTTCGAAGGCGTATAGGGAAAATCCTGGTACATTTGAGATTCATTTTTTTTCGGCTTTATATGAATTTTATATGTAATATAAATTTGTTTCTTTTTTCGGTTTTTGATCTCAAATTTACCGGGAAAACGAAACATGTTTTCGAAGCATTTTAATCAACTTTTATGAAGCTTTAATTCATTTTACCTTGATGAGTTCAGAATTAAAGTTTCAATTAAAGGGAAATTAATTTTTATATTTTTATTATTTGGTATATATTTTCCTTTTTTGCATTTTTAGTTTTCGAGTTTGTACTACTATGATCCTTTTTATTTCGAAATGTTTTAATTTTATGTTTAACCCCTTTATAAGAATGCAATTATTAATACTGTTCAGGAATCGCCTTCCTTTGACTCTAATTTACTTTCAACTTTAGATGCTTTAACACTCACTCTATATATACACTCACTCTGTTACCCGCTTCGGTGAGCTCAGTTCTTTTTATTCTTATATGTTAGACAGTTACACATTTTTTTGCATTAAAAGTGATTGAATTATATTGTTATTATGTCCCGATTAAGGTTTCTATACCTTTAATTAATCTGCATGCAATAGTTGTAGAATAATCAACAATTTAAAAGTTGTTTAAGTGCAACTAAGCCTAACATACGCGCAATTTGTTTATATTTGAAACTCTTTAGTAGAATAGTGAATCAAGTCAGTTTCTGCCCGTTCAGTGCCTTTTTGCTGTGTTGCATCCAAAAATAAACCTTCAGTTTTGTGCACCGAAAAATCTGCCTTCTTGCCCAATGGTCGAATAACTTGTTTTTGCGTAGAAACTATAATTATAATTGCAAATTTTTTTAAAAACTCTTTTGGTAACTGTATTTGGTGTTTTATGCTTTTCTGTATTTTATAATTGTTAATGAAGTTGTTTTACGTT